GTGTGTGTGTGTGTGTGTGTGTGTGTGTGTGTGTGTGTGTGTGTGTGTGTGTGTGTGTGTGTGTGTGTGTGTGTGTGTAACAAACAACTTTTAACTCATTTTTAAAATCTAGTCAATAGTTTGATTTTACCCTCTGAACTCTCCCTGAGCAATTCAGTTACTGAGCAATTGTGGTCTTAAAACCTTCTACCATTACTCCTGAAGTCCTTAAAAAATAAACCATTTAAACTTAAATTCTTGTTATTAAGTGGCCATTAATGATCAGTAGGCTTTAACTTGCATACTTCCATATCATTGTTCTTTTGATCAAACATTTACAGGGCCGCCCAGAGGATTCAGGGGGCCTGGGGCAAAGCAATTTCGGGGGCCCCTTCCATAAAAAAAAGTTGCCATGCTATAGAATACTATATTCTCGTATGGCCGGGGGCAAATTGCCCCACTTGTCCCCCTCCCTCTGGGCGGCCCTGAACATTTATAACATAAATAAAGAAATTAAAAAAAAAAACAACAAACTTTGAAGTTCCTTACAGTCTAATGACACGACAAGTTCATGAGTTTGCTTTACTATCATTGGAGCTTGCACAGCATTTTTCTGCTCTGCAGCAGCCTGCTCGCTTAATGAGAACAGGAATAAAGAACTTTAAAAAGGAGCATGTTGATGATGAGCCAATATACTACTTGCCTACAAAAGCAGCAAGGCATAGCTGTGGGAGGACTTGCATTTACACTCTAGCAATAGGAAACTGCTCTACCAGCTGTCAAAGGAGTATTTAGATTTCATTTTGTAATACTTTTTTTTTTAAACAAGCTATAAGTCAAATATTTTCTCCTTAGAGGAGAAAAAAAAATACACAGAGACATTCAGAGAAAGTGGCTGTGTTTTGACATTTAGGTGATGATACATTTGCTTACCCCAAACAAAATAATTTAAGTTTCACAAACACATAACTGTACACAGCAATCAGTATACTAGCTTTTGGGTTCGGTCTTTCAACAATATCAAACAAGTACATGGAGTTATAGTATTGTATTCACTTCAACTTTAGTTACTCCCTACGATCAACTGGCTGAGACTTAACCAAGGCATGACTGAGGTAATGCTTGCATGTGAAGGAAAGCAAATGGAAGGAATGACAAAGACCATTTAATCTCCTTTCACTGGAGACGTGGGCCAACAATTTGTATCGTAAATTCACATTTAGAAGGCTGCTTGGGGCTTCAGATTTCCAGGTAGCAGCAGTAGCCAACACTACTCCTGCCCTCACTCATGTGCATTTAGCTAGAACGCCCTGACCCAGGGCCCATGCTTTCTTTGTAGTCACATTGCTGCACAGTTTATTGCACAATTCACTAGTTTTCAAGAGTGCCACAAATTTAATGCTGACCACGTGGAGCATCAATGCAAAAGAACGTATCCAGACAACGGACAGACGGGAGATACCCAGGGTAACTGGTTGTGCAGGTGAGGGAGCTAGGGCCAGGAGGAGGTTTCCAATGATACTCCGGCCTTTGAGGTTAGTAGAATCCCAAGGGCCAATACAATTCAAACTAGCTTTTTACCTTTTATTTAAATGCAAGGTTCAGAGGAACTGAAAAAGTTGTGGAGCTTTACTACAGGTTCTGCAAATACCTGAAAGTGATTAAGACTAAAGGAAAATTCAGTTCTGCCATCAATACATCTGTTACCAGGGCCGTCCTTACCCATATGCAAACTACGCAGCTGCGTAGGGCACCAGGAAATATGGGGCAATTTGGGCAAGGCTGGGAGCCAGGGGAGCAGAGCGGAACAGGCTAGGGCCAGGTCGCCCCACTTCCCGCTGCCCCATGAGTGCGGGGTCGGGCCCGCCCTGCAATCACCGGGCAGCAGGAAGTGGGGCGACCTAGCCCCAACATGTCCCGCCTCCCAGCACGAGCCGGCGGAGTGTTTCCCCCCTGCCCGCCAAGCCTGCTCCTGCCCCCCACAGACCTTGAGCACAGCCCCCCCACCGGAGGCCTGAGGCCAGCCCCCCAACCCGTGGGGGGGCTGCGTAGGGCACCACAACGTCTAGAGATGGCCTTGTCTATTACATTAGAATAATGAAAGCACAGAATGAGTAGTATGTGCACTGGTGCTTTCCTACTCTGTACCAACAAAGGGTAAACAAAACACAAGTATATAAAGCAAAAGTGTAGCAACAACTAGGTAATGTTACTTGTCCCATTGAAGGTTCTGTTTGCCATTTTGACAGTAGTAGCTGTGAGTTATTATGTGGCTTTTCATTCTGTAAGATACAGAGTGCTTTACAAAGAAGCTACACCTAGCCCCATTTATGCACCAAAATCCTGGTGAAGTCCAGGCAAACATTGGGAGGGAATGCTTCCATTAAACAGCACAACAATGCAGGAGGACAATTAGGTAGGCCAAAATAATGGCCTAACCATAGAGCTGCCAGGTTGCTGAAATACCCGGTCAAAAAGGGACCTTGGCGGCTCTGGTCAGCACTGCTGACCGAGCCATTAGAAGTCCAGTCAGTGGTGCGGCGGGACTAAGGCAGGCTTCCTGCCTACATTGGCTTTGTGTGGCTCCCAGAAGCAGCGGCATGCCCCCGCCCTCCCCAGCAAAGGGGCAGCCAGGAGGCTCCGCACGCTGCCCCTGCCCCAAGCGCCAGATCCGCAGCTCCCACTGGCGGGGAACCACGGCCAACGGGAGATGCGGGGGCAGCGCCTGTGAACGGGGCGGTGCACAGAGCTGCCTGGCCACACCTTCGCATAGGAGCTGGAGGGGGGACATGCCGCTGCTTCCAGGAGCTGCTTGAGGTAAGCACCACCCAGAGCCCCTGACCTCTCCCACACCCCAACCCCCTGCACCAGCCCTGATCCCCCTACTGCCCTCTGAACAACTCTGTCTCAGCCCAGAGGACCCCAAATCCCTCATTCCCAGCCCCACACCCCCAGCTGTAGCCCTCACCCCGGTGAAAATGAGCGAATGAGGGTGGTGAGAGTGAGTAACAGAGGGAGGGGGGATGGAACTGGGGTGGGGCCTCTGCAAAGGGGCGGGGCAAGGATATTCAGTTTTGAGAGAATAGAAAGTTGGCAACCCTACCTAATCACTACCTTTAAGAACAGGCTTGGGATTTTTGTAGTGCAAGAACAAAGACAGGATGGTGTGAGAGGAAAATGATTTAAGGAACTGGGGTTACAATAATTTTAAAATATGGCAACTAACAAATGAGAATATTTTAAGGGTTTATGTATTTAAGTCTGAATTGTGTTGAAATTTCCCTAGTAAGAAACCCTCCTGTAGAGAAGGCTTTTGGTCTTTAGTTATGTGGTCCTGTTTTCAGCAATCCAACTTGTTTCCATATAACCAGAATTGTGGAAAAAGTGTTAAAACAAAGAGCTAGTATTCGTGTAAATTTCAGTAACTACTGACAAAAAGCTGCTGGCGCACCATTTATCTTTTACAAAGGGGAAGAGTAAAATGCTGACCTTTAAGACCTGAATCATTGAGTCACAAGAGATTTTGCACTTCCTTTGAAAGTTCATCTAGATAACTAGGCACCACTGAACACAGACATCAGTCTGAGATATCACTACATTTATTGTTTCTATGAGAGCCAGCAGGAAGAAAATAAATACCTTGCTCTTGTGTAGGCAAATCTACTACGCTTTTATAAAAAGAGAAGTGCAAAATAAAGACTTGATAGCAGAATATTTAGGAATATGTGTAATTAAGATTAGAGAAACTGAACACTTTCTATAACATCTTTAAACTATCTCACCCCACTTTAAACAGAATTTAACATCAACATTACAATACAAAAAATGCGTGTGTGGGTTTTACATTACATAGATACAGAAATTGAGAC